CCTTAAAATGAAACGAGTCTGTCAGTCAACCCAGCGAGACAACGGCTAACAGACCTTCAACCTTCAAGTACATAGGGCAGTGGGAGTTCCCGTATTAGCCCCATCTCATTGTACTCCACTGGGCTGATTAGGTGTTGACACCAGACTAGTACTCCTGCATGGCTGTCGAGTTTCCATTGAAGATGCTATCGTTTGGTTCCTCCACCACGTCTTCTGGAAGCGCATTCCAGAGATATCACCCTTCCCGCCAGACAATAGATCAGCGGCAGACCGTTTGACTGCGTCTTGTGGAGCGTCAGTGCATGTCCCCTGATGCGGTTGTTGTACCTCAGGGGGAATTGCAACTGCAATTCTGGGCCAAAGTCGCGTCTGGCGTAGATCAGGTCGCCTCTCAGTCGTCTGCATGATATGGGAGACAATTCCGTTGCATTCAGTCGGCCCTCATAGCTGATCCCACGATGCCCTTCGACGAGGCATATGGCAGCCCTTTGAACTGTCTCCAGTTGGGCAACCTCAGAAGTCGTACAAAGAAAGACCGCTGGACTGCCATATTACGTACGCCCTTGTACGTGGGAGGCATACAACAAGGGCGACGGACCAAACGAACGGCGGGTAGCACCCAACACACCTCACGCAGAAGCACAGGCTTTGTCTGCCTGCACGAGTTTTCAGGTTGCTGGTGGTGACAACATCCAAATCTCGTTTATCAGTTGACTGCAGGCGAACGGTACTTCATAGAAGGTTGATGGTGATGAGATCATGTGCTCCTATCCACATGAGGGCGCACTTGAAGATATTCACTGGTAAACCCCACACCCTTGACCAGTTCATCAGAGCATTCAGGTCATCCTGAAGAGACATCTGGTCTGCCTCTGTCCGGATTGTTCTCCAGAGCTTGCGGTCGTCTGCACAGATTGCGCATGGGCTACTCAACGTTGATGGTATGTCGTTCGCGAAGATAAGGAACAGCAGTCGGCCAAGAACGGAGCCTTGCGGGACACCACTTGTAACTGTGTACCACTATTATGAAAACGCTCACAAACTTTCCGTGAACTACTATTGAGTCGGTTTTATCTCGTGCTAGGTTCGTACCAAATTCAAGCTGGTTGTTATAACAAGAGGTAGAATAAGTGATGTGCGAAAGAAAAATATGCAAATGAATCGTAATAAAATTCAATTCTTTAATTAATAGATCGCATTTCAAAGGGAATCAGTAAATACAACAGATCACAAAAGAAACAACTTAAAACCCTACAATTATCAAAGAATTCTTGATGGTACTCAACAAAACGATCCACTTAAAGTAACTTACTTTACCGTACAGCAGGACGTCTGGATCCTCTTCAATCTCTCGCAAACCAGCCTGAAAAAGAGGCTTGTTCCTTGGGATAGCGAATTTGTGCTTGAACTTTTCATACGGAAATATATCCTTCGGAGCAAGAAAATAGCTGAAGAGGGAATAATTTAAAAAGGCGACGTACACTTCGTGCGTTCCGTAGAAAAATATGGGGTATTTCCCTTTAGGAATAGACACGTCTGGAGGTAGCAGATTGATCTGGACGAATAAACGACAAAAAATTATTCCGCTTACTCGAGACGGCCAATGAGGATGCCCCTTAACCTTAGCGAAAATTTTGTCGCCAGGGCTGTACGCCATTTGGCGCTTATTAGCAGATTAGGCTGGCTGAAGGTCAAATCTCGCAGAATTCGAACAAGCCGCCCAACCGAACCAAGAAGATACAAAACAATGCGGCGCACAAACTCCGGTCCCCGGGATTGCGGCTTGAGAATATTGCGTCCATTTTCTATAAATTCTATTTTTCGCGACGAAAGAGAACTCAAGACCTTTACTGCGTTACACTGCATTCATGTCTTGATTTCTGGAGGTATTTCACGGGGATTCACAGGCTTGGGAACCGAAGTTTTCGAGCAGCCCGGGTTTTGCTGGACGTTTTATTGCTCAGTGACGGACGGAGGTCCTCGGAGTCTGTTACTCGGTATCCGATTGTGTCTGAAACAAGAGATAGGAATGCTACAGTTCAACTGATTTCAGACCATTCCTACAGTGCAAGCGTGCGGCTAATATAGCTCGACACGAACTTTTCAAGTTGTGCGCTGTAGTAAGTTGCAGAAGACCTGAGGTTTTTGTACCGTTGTACAAAACCATAGTGCGTCCACATTTAGAATATTGCGTACAGGCATGGGCGCCTTATTTTAAACAGGACGAACGCTGTTTTGAGAAAGTACAGGGCTTAGCAACTAGAATGGTAACAGGCCAGAAAGATAAGGGATACCTCCAACGACTGCGGGACCTGGACCTGTTCTCCCTGGCCCGCAGACGCATGCGAGGCGACCTTATAGAGACATTTAAGATTGTCAAAGGGCTTTCGGGTCTAAGGTTCCAAAACGTATTCTCTTTTTTTCCTGCC